GAAATATCTTTTCTGCACGGGAGGGTAAATATTTTTTGGATATCTTTGCATCATCATGTAGTCAAGTAGTTACTGTATAGGAGTATGAAAAGAGAAACTTATACCTTTTAAGTTCAGAAGAAAAACCAGTTTTCCAGAAACTCCAAAAAATCTTCCAAACTTTTCTTAATAAGTCATGTTCGTAGCACGCGAAATTTTGATCAAAATGAGACATCTCCCAGCACTACACGACCTTTCTTTCCAAAGTTATAGAATTTACATGAAAAGGCCTAAATGTTCATTGTCAGCACAGAGATATAGAAAAAGGAAAAATGAATTTAGGCCTTTTCTTGTAAATTCTATAACTTTGGAAAGAAAGGTCATGTAGAGCTGGCAGATGTCCCATTTTGATCAACATTTCCCGTGCTACAAACAAGACTTCTTTTCGTTGCTTTTACAGCGTGAAAAGTAATTAGCGATTTTCTCATTAACTGTGCGTCGAAATGAGAAAAGTGAATTTTGTAGAGCTTCAGGAGTTGTACTTGGGTCCATGAAGAAGAAAGTTGGATCCACAGACACAGCGAATCGTGGCACAAAATATCTTATTTTTCCCAGTTGTATATATATTGCTGTTAAAGCGTGAAAAGTAATTAGCGATTTTCTCATTAACTGTGCGTCGAAATAAGAAAAGTGAAGTGTGAATTTTGTAGAGCTGGATGAGTTCTACTTGGGTCCATGAAGAAGGAAGTTGGGTCCGACGATGGGGCGAATCGTGAAGGGAAATACCGAGATGTTTTGGAATTGAATGGGTTTTTAGGTTAGGGTTCGAGTTATTTTGGGTTTTTGACTCGTTTGCTGTAATGAATTTTGGAGCCCAATGTGTTGGGTTTGTAGAGCTCGTTGAGTTCTGCTTGGGTCCTGCGGGAGTGAGGTTGGATCCAGTTATTGGGCGAATCCGTTCAGGAAGTATTCGAATCCTGACCTAAGATATGCTACGTAACGACTTCGTGAAAAGAATGTCTATGGGTTGATCCCTGGTGTGACGTTCTTGAAAACGTTCAGCCCCTCGAATGCTCATGTAAATGCGACGAGCAACTCTACAAAGTTCAACGGCCAAATCACTAGCTGTTTCGCCTCCGCCAACAATCAGAATTGTTTTATCACGGTAGAGAGCGTCATCTGGTTCTTTGTATGATATGCTGTGGGACACAGTTCCTGTGAATTGATCGAACGGTTCAAGATGGCGAAGTTCATTGGCTGTTTGGTGTTGTCCGACAGCTATGACTACTCCATCAAATAGTTCTACTATCTCTCTTCCGTCATTTCGAAATCGTATCCTCCGTTGATCATCTTGGCTTTTTTCAACTTTGATAACGTCACACGTAAAATGCATGTGAGACCATAAATGGAAATGATCAGCATACGAGTTTAAATGAGCAAGTACTTGATCATGCTTTGGAAAATGAGGAATCTCTTTGGCCATCGGAAAGTCTGAGGGGTGTAGTAACGTTTTCGATGACGTAACATGTGTCGATTGATAGACACCACCCAAGCGTCAAAAAAAAATCTAGTATCGCCCGATTCATCTAGATTACTAGATTTCTACTCGATTGCAACTACTGTGTAACGACAATGGAAATCTAGTAATTGGGCGATTACTAGATTTTTTCTAGTTGCAACTATCGATTTATCACCCGATAATCGATCGATTTAATTATTACTAGATGCACCTGCAGACGCATCTAGTTAAAAGTCCCTTTTTCAACTGGTAATCTAGATGGCAACTAGTCGTGTATCGCTCGATTATAGACGAAATGCATCTAGTTTTTTCCCATAGGTGATACTTGCTTGGGCACTTGGTGCGTCTTTGTAGAGCCATACTCCACCAAGATTCGGTTCACGTTCATAGAGTCAGACACCCAGCTGTTCTTCCAACAAGTACTTCAAGGCATATATACCAGACCAACCTCCCCCGATAACAGCGAACTTCTTTTTTTCCATTTGTTATACTAGATGCAATACAGGCTGAAATCAATATGTACGTCCATATAATATGCACTTTATTCACCTTGAATACGTGTGGTGGATAGATGAGAGAAATGAGTCAGTCTATTTTACCTGTTCTCTTTGACTTCTGCATTTTACTTTCTGATTTGATAAACACAATAAGGCCTTTCGGTACACTGTAAAGGTAATCAAAACATGAGAGCAAAATAATTCCGTCCTTGCTGTCTATAAGTGATAATAAGAACAAAAGAAGAGAAATGTATTCTACAAAGTAATTTAAAATGGGAAGTCGTATGTAAGAAGATACATTAACGATAGTTACCGGCCGATCAGAATTGCAAAACACAATGCACGAATCCGAGAAATGAACAGTAGACGCTTTTCGTTAGTCAAAAGTTCAAGTATTCCCTATTAAAAAAATGTTCCTAGCATTTCGTTTGGCCGACAACTGCGACGTGTCAACGGAGCACATTCTCGTTTCATAATAAGCAGCTAAAGGAATTCAAATCATCTCTTCCATCCGAAGTACGATGCTCAAATTTACAAATGATCTTTTTCGTATTCTATGCCACATCAGTTTCATAATTTCAGTATATATTTGAGGATAGCAAAATTAAGTTTCTAGTTAAAAAAAGCATGTTCATTTCACCGATGGACCGTTGGTGATTGAGACACATGTACTGTTTCAAAACGATTGATTTTGTACGATTGCCCAAAGTCTTTCTTCCACCCGAATTGTTTTAAGTTGATCAAATGGTATCGGGCTGAGTTTAGATAGTTCACTGTAGATTTCTTTTGAATAATATTTTTCTAGTCGAGAAGCAGCCTCTAAGATCAGTACTATTGAAAACCTCATCATCGAAATACGTATATAGTGAGCGAATGTGATACCACTTTGATTCTCTGATGCTGTACGTTTGTCGTCACTAAATTTTTCATCCGCTGGTGCACAATAACAATATTGAATAAGGCGAGCTGTTGGTTCATCTAATGTTTTTCCTTCGACCAGAGACTGGGTAAAAATAGTTCGATGATTATTTTTCATATCTTCATGTAGATCCTAGAAAAAAATGATTCAACAATATATCGAGAAAAACCAATCCAATTCACTTGTAAATCATCGAGCAACTGTAAAGCAAACCCGATGTATTCTAAATAGGCCAGTTTAGCTCTTGTCATTTGACCTTCTACCAAAAATCCGGCTGCAATCAACGATGCACCTCCCTTTTCAGCACTGACTTGCTCAATTTGTGCCATTGTTGGTTCATATCCATCTTCCACTTTTGCATGTTGCAGCGTAGATTTCATTTGTGATTCATGAATTGTAGCTAAAGCCATATAGACACCTTCATATTCACCGCCACGTTGCCAATCGTTTTCAATAAATTTGACCATATCAAAGATTTTTACTATTCGATCGGCATATGGTTGCAATAATGGCAATAAATCGAGATCAGCGATATTCGATGGTCTTCCATCAAAATGTACTTTGGGATCATATTTTGATTCGCCAAAAAGTAGTCGCTCATGAAAAATTTTAGCAAATTCTTTTTTTGCCTCTCGTGATATATCATTACTATCTACTAGATCATCAGTGTAAGGATAGAGCATATTATAACCAAAGATGGAGTCTGTCAAGCCTAACGGCAAATTAAGTTGTGCTTGAAAAGCAATCATAAACCAGACAACATGACCGCCTTTAAATAACTCTTCATAGGTTATTGTCGAATCATATATTTCACCTTTGTTAGTAAATTCAGTGGTAACTTGACCGAGGCATTGATACATGTCACAGAGAGGTTTGTGTTCTATGGGTGGTATATTGAATATTTCATTCCAAATATGGAAACCTAATAACAATTAAAAGATGAAACTTCCAAGGAATCACTTTTATTTTGCTTACCTTTAGAACGTATTCTCTTTTTAAGGAATGTTTTCTTCAGAAGTGCAGAATAGAAAGCGAAAAGTTTCAAATTTCGGAAGCGTGTTCGTTGTTGTCGAAGCGTTTGTCGTCTGCATTGTTTGTTATTAATGCTAGTCAAATCAGAAGGTAACGAATACCATAGTTTTAATGAACTTTCATAATTTATTTTCAAGCGTGCTGTTCGAAATTCTTCATAGGTTTTAAATTGAAATAAAACATCGTTATCGTTGGTCGTATGAGTACCATCCATCTAGAACAATAATAAGATTTGTGTTAGACGAGAAAGTCAAATCAGTTTCTTCTTTTCTTTCGTCACTTTAAGGACAATTTCCTGGACGCCAAAGCCACAGTTCTTCTGCTATTTGGTACAAAAGAAAATGAAAACGACAAAATCGTGTGGGGGTACTAGTCAGATTTTTTCACATATAATAGTGAGCATATGCCTACTTGAATATAAAAACAAACGTGCGTCATGCTTCAGAAGTCACCGCGTATCAAACGTATGCAAGGTTATTTAGAACAAAAAAAAAAGAGAGAACGAACTGAATTTCTTGGTTTCTTTTATTTCTTTTGATTTCTGTATCACCACGAAAGTTCCAGTTGCAGAAAAAACTGATAGACAGTGATATGCTAAAAAACTACAGTAGTTACTCGATGAACAAGAAAGTTTATTGATAGAATATCACACAGAATAGAATTTGTTTTTAGGAAGACGATGTAAAACATCATAATAACTCTTACACAGACGAAAAATAATGAAGGAAATTTAAGAATAATGACTGGAAATCGTTCAGATTAATCTCGGCGCCAGACTTAAATGGATTACACTGTTCTCAAGTATTTTTTGCCGCATTTTAACCTGTCGATCTGCGGCTTTTACTAGCATTTAGATACCACCATATTAGCAACCAAACTATGTTACATTCGATCGAATCCGAGATTAGATCAAGTATTTGCACACACTACCTTTGAAACAATGTGTTCGAACTCTATGAACGGGCAGTAATGAAACCCAAACGAGTGTCGTCATCGCATTCTCTAACATTGACAACTGCTCGGTTAAGAAACTGGTATAATTTTCATTCAACTATAAATCCCCCGTTTTTGTTTAACCCTCAATTAAAATAAAATATAGCTTCCTCATAGGGCTTGTTTATTTTTCTAAGTGACATGAGGAACCATAGCCGTCTTCGGCAGTTGAATATGAAGGAACACAGGTCAGACTTTTTTCACATTAAAGGGTAAAGCCATTGGGCCTGAGGGTGAGATAGAGCTTCCACTATCGCGATTTCACCTCAGCTACGAGGATCACCAGGTGGATTGAATCTCAATCGAATTCAGACTGTATGATCACGAAGATCAAGCACTAGAACGAATCCGATTAAAATGTACTGTCGTTGATGACTCATCCAGCAGAACTGGACAATTCACCAACAATGGCAATTCATTTTTGAATCAGTGGTGAAATAGAACTTCCACTATCGTGATTTCACCTCAGCTACGAGGATCATCAGGTGGATTGAATCTCAATCGAATTTGGGTGAGGGTGAGTTCAACAAGATTATTCCAAGCTACTTACGACGATCGTTTCGAATGGGGCTTATTCCATTCATCATCAGGTAAGTTTAGAATATACTCTGCTATTTTTTTTGCTTTTCGCTGTGCGGTCCGGCTCGGTTTTTCTCGAACATTTTATCGATTGAACGTTGAAGACTGGTACGTAAAACGCTCACCAAGTGAAGAAGTGGGGACTTGCATCCTGGAAGAGTTCAGTTAGTGAATACTGGTGTCATGGACAATTGTACTAATGTTGAGAGTCTAAAACGAAGAATAAATTTTGAAGTATGTATATCTATCTCCATTTGAAGCAGGAACTCAGGAACTCAGAAATTCATATGCTCATATACGTGTGTGTATGTATATATTTGAAGTTAGGAACTCAGGAACTCAGGAACTCAGAAATTCATATGCTCATATACGTGTGTGTATGTATATATTTGAAGTTAGGAACTCAGGAACTCAGGAACTCAGAAATTCATGTGCTCATATACGTGTGTGTATGTATATATTTGAAGTTAGGATCGCAGGAACTCAGGAACTCAGAAATTCATGTGCTCATATACGTGTGTGTATGTATATATTTGAAGTTAGGAACTCAGGAACTCAGAAATTCATATGCTCATATACGTGTGTGTATGTAAGTTTACTAGAATACTATAATTTTAATATTTCGAAGTATTAGAGTTTTCACATAAAACATCCCGTAAGACATAGGTGAAGTGAAACTGCACAATATTACATTTTAAGAACTCCACCTTTCACAATTCTATAATTTCGCATTTGCAGAATTTTAGAATTTTAGAAGTGTAAAATTCGAGAATATTAGAGCTTCAGATTCTAGGAATCGTAGAAAGATGGAATTGCAGAAATTCTAATATTCTACGTCTAACATCCTCTAATTTTCATATTTCTCAATTTAATACCCGGCCATTCTAACATCAAAAACACAACAAATTATCTAACATTAGAAGTAAGCACTTGCTTAGGTGCGACTAAGTAAAAGTTAAATCACTGAAAACAGCGTTTTCTTACGAACACTGACAAAACACACTTCACGACAGCGAATTGCACTAATTCAAGAAGTTCAAAACAGACGGCTTGTCTTAACTTTAAATAAACATTTCATGTTATACCTTGTTTTTCCATTCGCAAAAATCGTAAACCAAAGGCAGAAAAGAAGAGAGAACAATCGTTTTCTTTCTCTTATACGAGATGCAAGGTGCTTCTTTTATAGAATAGTGCACGCTAGTATATTGTATAAAGAGAAGACAGAAACCAGAAGAATAAAATGAAAACATCTCTCTCTTCTTCTCGCATGTAGTTCACGAACCGCAAATATAAACGGATTAATGTCTACACGAAAGAAATTTAGATTATCTCAGTTTTACCTTTTTACAATATCAGAATACTAGAATTTTCGAATATTACAATTTTATAATCTTATAAGAGGAGAATATCAGAATACTAGAATACTATAATTTTAATATTTCGAAGTATTAGAGTTTTCACAGAAAACATCCCGTAAGACATAGATGAAGTGAAAGTGCACGATATTACATTTTAAGAGCTTCACCTTCTTGCATACAGTTCACGATAGCAAATATAAAGGATTAACGGGTACATGAAGAAAATTTAGACTATCTCAGTTTTACAATTTTACAATATCAGAACATGAGAATACCAGAATTTGCGAATATTAGAATTGTAGAATATCACAATTTAATAATCTTATAATCCGAGAATATCAGAGTATTCGAATATAAAATCGTAAGCCAGAGGCAGAAAAGAAGAGAGAACAATCGTTTTCTTTCTCTTATACGAGATGCCAGGTGCTTCTTTTATAGAATAGTGCACGCTAGTATATTGTATAAAGAGAAGACCGAAACCAGCAGAATAAAACGATAATATTCGCTCTCTCTTCTTCTCGCATACAGTTCGCGATGGGAAATACAAACGGATTAATGGTTAGATGTAAAAAATTATCATTATTCAGTATGATGATGACTTTCCAGTCAGAGGTTCAACTCTTTGACACTCTGAACTAATACAGAGTATCAAATGACTTGAGCTAATTCAATTATTGAACCGGGAAAAGCAAGCGAATGCTTAACGAAGACTGAGTGAAAATTAAAGCACTAAGATCTTGCTAGTACACGTTTATGGAATTTAGAGGACGACAATTTCGAAATTTTATTTTTAAAAATCATGTTATCTAATCATAAAAAGATTTTACTCATTGTTGTTTATAGACCTGAATCTACGATAGAGGAGTTTCAAGATTTTTGTACTTTCATCCATGACTCGATTTCTTCTAAGGTCAATTTATTTGAATATGATGGACTATTCATGACGGGT